TAAATTAACGTTCTTTAAAATTATCATCATTATACATGGAATAATAATTTTATAAAATAATTAAGTGCGTTATTTACAAATTAATATTTAACGTATATATTCTGCGAAAAATGTGCATGAAAAAATTCTTAATTTAATTCTAAAATATTTTTTCATATTTGCTCACTTTAAAATGCTTCCGTAAGTCATGAGTTACTCTCCGAGCCCATCATTTTTTTGGTTTGCAATAATGTCACTAATGATAAATAGCACACATTTTTAAATGTATATTAATTAATATTTCGTATACACCAGATTTCCATGTATTTTTATACCAGTCATTTCATTATTATACAGATATAATGTTAATGTCATGTAATGATATAAAGCAAATATTTACAGTTAATATCCAATTACTTTTACAGCCTTTATCTTGATAATGCATTCGTTTCTTCTTCTTCACCTCTTTCCCCGACACATTAGTATTATCGTAATCTCTAATCCTCAATATCAATAAAAAACCTTTTTTATCTTCTGCATACACAATCATGTAGAATTGTGTGGACATATAAAGCGTTGATTAGTAAATACATAAAAATATAGATACATAAATACATAAATAAATACATAAAAATATAGATAATACTGTTGTATTTGTACAATGATAATTTTATCGAATTATTTCTTATGTATATATTCGCAACTCAATATAATACCGCTGTAGCTGACACTGAATGAGCATAAAAGGAAAAAAAGAAAGAAAAAAGAAAAACGTGAAAAATGTGAAATCAGTCAAAACTAATTATACGTTCGATTACCTTTTCATAAAGTGCTCCTGCTCCTCCGTCCCCCCACCCCCGACACATTGTACAAGTAAATAAAGCATTAAAATGCAGTTATAAAATTCAGCTGGGAATGAAGCTTTTAAAGATTATAACATCTGCATTGCGATTTCATAAGTACATAAAAAGCATTCTTACGATAATCCATATAGCGTTGCGTTGGCTGCAAAAGATAAAATCATAAGCTCAAGCTTTTATTCTCCAATAGCTTTTCCGCCATAAAACAAACAAAACCGCTCAATAAATCCACATTATTCCCCAAGCTCGAAAGCAAATAAAAGCCTTGCGAATCTCGCTAATATCGCTCCCGTCCATTAGAACCACGCGCCCGACAATATTCACCTGGAATTTGGGTTTTACCGGCGATCGACGCGACTGGCAGACAAAAAGGACCTCCTGACGCGAAGGATCAGAGCCCAACTGTCGCATTGTAATGCGCCGATCGCATACCCGCCAAGACGCGAAGCTCCTCTTTTCCCACGTGTCTCGTTATACGCCCATCAGTTGCGTGTCCTTGCTACTGACGTTATCCTGGCGATAAAAAAAAAGAAAGAGAAAAAAAATCTCCCGCCTTTCTGGTCCACGAGAAGACACGGGATTGTAAAATCAATACGGAGGGGCTTTTGCGCCTGCTGCGCTCTATCGATCTGTTTTTTCTGACCACGTGCTCCGGCTGCAGATTGAAAGCGAGCGCTTCGCACTTTTACATAGGCGGGGTCGAGCCTTTTATCTCTGATTTTACCGGGGATTATGCGTGTCGCCACTGGATTTTATCGAACGATTCTGTAGCTTTATATTAAGGAATTACACTGTACGCCATTTGGCGAAAAACATGCTGTTACATGAGAAACTCGCGAGTCCCGTTACATTGATCAATTGCATCTGATACTGACGTATACATTTTATTTTATTACCAAGCTATACGTGTAACAGACATATGGTCACGTAATCTGGAGGTCTTTGGTTCGATTTAAAGGTATTTTATAGACATTTGCTTGATTCGCTTATGCCAAATATGTTCCAGAAATTAAAGTCTAACATTTGCGTTTATTCGCTTTAATGGTACTACGAACGACGACAGACTTACAAGTATATTATAGCGATAATTATGAAACGATTTAATATTGCGTACAAAGTAATTGCATAGGGAAATGTTGAGTGAAAAATTTAAATGAATGTTAATTTCACTGGAAACTTTTGGAAATTTTTCACGTACGCATCAATACCCCGAATAATTAATTTATACGACAAAAAATAAATAAATAGTATGTAAAAATCTGTTATGGACCATATTTTCAATATAACAACGACAGCAGTAGTAGCAAAAACAATACCGCAACAACAACAACGACGACAACATTAATAATAATTATAATGTTAATAATGATAAAAACATTAATTTTAATAATTATAGTAACTAGTAGTTTTTAATAAGAATGGAAATTTTTTAATTAAAGGAGAGAAGACTGAGGAAATCTGAAGAATTAATCTTAAATTTATACTTCTTTATAGTTGATTGAGCTGTAATTGGTCTTGGCTCATAATTTATAATCTTTCTAACGTATATTTTCGTAATAATAGTTAGAGAAATTACATTCTGCAACTTAGCCATCTTTTTATTAACATCATAATTTAATATCCGCCGAAACGAATGAATGATTTCTAAAGAAGGAATTAATTCATGTCAATACATGTCCATATTCATGTTATTGCAAATTTTCAAATTCATCACATAAATGGTTAATAATAGTTTTTCTTATAAGTACAGTAAGCATTAGTCTTTGTGAGTTTTTTTGTTTTTTTGTTTTTTGTTTTTTTTTTTTGACATAATTGAAAATTAATTTTTACGTAAAGTAATATGAGCTAATATGATAAACAATAAATTATTCCCCCATCAATCTTTAATTGTAAGGTAATTTATACGCTGTCTATATTTTTTTAATTTTTCTTTTAATGGAATGATTTATTTCATGCTCGAAGTAAAATTAAAATTTGTTACGCAGCGAACGTCCCTAAAACTTTATAAGAGACCTTGAAATTGATCCAATTTAATGAATTTGTTAGTTACCTTCAAATACTCATTAAATTCCCGAGCTTTCAAGTTTGCTTGAGGCACATGAAACACGTGCGTTAAACAGACATACTACAAAAAAAAGAAAAAGAAAAAGAAAAAAAAACAATCGGAAAATAATTGGGGGCCTTATTAAAATGGGTTTAAAATTTGCAATATGCTCATTTTTAAGTTATTCATTTTCTTTAATAAGCGATCTACGCATAAAATTTCCCCTCCAACGTCCTATAATACCATACTCTCATTCTTTCTTCTTCTCTGTCTTTTTTTTGTTTGTTTCAAACTTACTTCGCGTACAATAAATTTACATGCATATTCGAAGAAGTACAAGCATACTCGTTATTTACAAGAATAGATGTGCGATCCAATTAAAGACATAAAAATTTACCGAGCATTATAAACGCATCCATCGTCGATACGCCATTTCCCAATATGGTTATACCAAATCACACAAGCAAGACTCGAACGATTGACGACGGCGAAAGAAAGCGGGGCCGAAATGAAACAATATCGAGAAATGATACACCGGGCATTCCATTATCGTCCTATGACTCTTGCCATTCGGCATTCGGGCCCCGTCGTTCATCATTAATGTCGCTTCCTGAGCTCGATTGCGGGATTTCGCTCTTCTTCCGGGGTGGCGCGGGGTGGACGCCAACCGAGCAGTCGCGTCCACCCTCGTTCGCGACCATGCACGCAACATTTGCTCGTTTATTTACGAATATGCGCGCGCCCGAGCCCTATTGATTTTTCGCAGGCGGCACGTTAACGCGGCCTCGGCGCCGCTGCCACTTGTGCGGACGCTCGGTCCGTCAGCCTCCCGCGGATCTGCGGGAGTCACGCACACGCACCCTTCCCCCAGCTATCCGTTTGCCGCGCACGCATTATACACGACCACGCGTTTTCCTGACGTCCCTACGCTATTGGACCCGACCGTGGGCTCGGGATATAAGGAGAAAAAAACGCCCCTACGTACTACTCGAGCACTTGGAGTTCGAGCTTTTTGTGTACACGCCGTTTGATATCGCCGAGATAAATAGAATGTGAACGATTGCGCGTCTCTACTTTTTTCCTCTCGGCATATTGCGCGCGGATGCTGTTTTTTTCTTCATTTTTTCTTGTTGTTTTTGTTGTTTTTGTTTCTTTTTTTTTTTTTGTTTTTTAACCAAACCGGCCGAACGATATACGCAAATTTCACGTAGGAATACGGGCGGAAGATTTAGGGCTTTTGATGTTTGTAGTGTTTTTGTTATTTGCCGTTGCTTTTTGCACGGATTATTTACGCACGGTCTTTTTGCACGGCGGAATAATTTGTAAGCAAATCTATTGTGATCCATTGCCTATCGTATGGATGAGAAAGTTCTTACGGAGTAAAATGTACGGCATTGCGAAAGTTAATCACACCGCAGGCCAAAGAATTCATTACGGTGTTCTGCACAGCAAATAGAATTATTCGAGCATGCATCTGTTTCATGAATATTTCGATCGAACACTTAATGCTTGATATTTCATTTCATAAATTAATTTCAATGTTTCTGAACGCATTCGGTAAATAGCACTTACAAATTAATGAAAGATAAGATCGATTGTAACAAATATTGAATGTTAGTTCGACATTAAACAGATTTTATATTTAAATAAATAATTTATTTTTTCGAATATTTTTTAGAATAATTATTGATTAATTTAAATTTGCGATGTATACGTTGAAGAGCTTTGCAAAAATTCATAATTCTTATTTGAATTTTCCGTACTTTTTAAAGAGCATTGTCAATACGTTTATCTAAGAATATGCGACTAAAAATATTAATTGATAGCCATTTTGTTTTGAAAAAAAATTTTAGACGCTTTAATTTTTTTTTTTTTTTTAAGCACTTTCGACACAATTTTAAGATCAGAAAACCATTGTGCATTAAAAATTGAAAACGTAAGATATAAGACTTGAATATTTCCAACTTATGAATGTTATTGTTCCTTTAATTTTTTTTGGAACTACTTTGGTACATATGCGATAAAAATAGCTACAAAATTATTCAAGAAATATTAGTAAAACTCATAATTGTGACGTATTCTATTTTATTATCAAATTCGTTCATTTTTTCCAACAGATATATCGACACCAGCCTGCAGTACGATTCGCTATAAAAGTTTAAATGATGTTAATGCAACAGAACTTGGATTTCAGCGACTTGAATTTACGCCGATTGTAGTGACAAAAATGAGGTGAGTGGTAATAAGGCGATCCCGTACGTCAGTTGACATTTACATTATCGTTCAATTATCGATTTCTTAATTAATGGCACAATAAAAAATATAGAGAATTGAAAAAAATAATGAAAAAATTGCCGGTAGTTTGAAACAGATGTATAATATTTAAATTAAACATTTAATGTTATAAAAAGAATAAAAATTATGTTAATCTTGAAATTTATTACATCAATTTTATTTAATATTGTTTCTTGAGTTTCTTAATAAATTTAATTACTATCTACGCTCCGTATGAACGATTCTTCATACAATTATACTAAACGGTATAATCCTTTTATCTTTATTTTTGTCGAAGATTAATCTTGTACTAATTAATTATTGATTTTGTTTTTTATGAATAATAAAAGAGACATTCTATATCAATCAATCACTTTCATTATAGTAAGCCAAAATTAGTAGAAAATTATTTAATCGATATTAATAGTTTTCTGTAATATAAAAATACATATGGTGATGATGTCATAAATTGATAATGTTCAGATGCTTTTATTTTTAATCTTAAAATCGAATTCTTATATTTTCAAGTAAAATATAAAATCTTTGCATCTATTTTCGTAAACATAATGTGAAATATAACATAAAATAAAGATAATTTTCTTCATGAAAATTAAAATAGAAAAAAAATATATTTTATAGCAAAAGTGTAAATATATAGAGTCTTCTACCATCCTTAGTCTCTTTAGAATATAAATTAAAAATTTTGTCAATGACAACATAATAATAAAGTAATAACACGATAATAAACAAAATAATAAAGTATTCCTATTATTACGTAAAATATTTATATATTTATTACGTATAAAAGTATAACTATTTTAAGAAATCACTAAACAATTTATTGAAAATAAATAATTAGAAAGAGATTTATTACGTACTTACTACTTTGCTTTAATTTACTAGACGATTTATATTTCTTAATATTTATTATTTATTTGTTAATCAGTTATTATTCATGTATGTAATTAAATATGTTTATTCGAATTATATAAGACTGACATAAAAAATGAAAGAAATATTATTGAGATAATTTGACGAAAATAAATTTGATAAAAGACATTCCATCTAATGTATTAAAAAAATTATTTTTTTTTAAATCTTTATTATTATCAATTTTTAAAATGTTAAACGATTGACATAACATGTTTCCACATTTTTTAAAATAACGATGTAACTTTATAATTAATTTTATGTAATTTAAAACTACATTTAAAATGCGAATTATCCTAGTTTTCCTAAAAATATAAGAACTTCAACACAATGCTTTGTTATGTCAAATTAACAAATATTGCATTACATATACCCCGAATGCCAAACTTCTTGCTTGACTTTTTATTTGTGCTCCTGTTTACTGTTTTATTTCGTGTTTCCATTGTGATATAAGTACAGCTTGTGAAAGAAATTGCATAAGTATTGATAGCTCAACTAGATTGAGCATCTGTTGTAAAAACTAGACGGCATCCAATTCTCAATCGAGCGAAACCATGACAATCTTTTTCGAGTTTTCCTCGGTTTTTTCATTGCTATTGATTGTCGATATCCAGATACAGTCACAATTAACAATATTTATAAGAAAGCAAGTGATTTTTAAATATAGTTCAAATTTATAGTTAATTCAATGATTGACATTTAACTATTTTTATTATCGTGGCTTAATTTTGAAAAGAACTTGAAAATGATTTTCAAAGAGTAATTTTTCGCAGGCCCGTTTTCAAATAAATATTTGTTTACAAATTTCAAATTCCTAATATTAGAGTATTAAGTACCACAAAAGTACAGAATGAGTAAACGCTTCATAGGTCGAATAATAAATCAACAACATATTCAAGGAATATAGCGTATGTCACTTGCGAAATTTTTGCATTCACGTATAGATACAGAATATATCGTAAATTGGGCTTAATGGCAATGGACTTCAGGAAAGGTAAAAAGAACTAATTTCAATGCGTTAACATTTGTCAGAATAACAAATTGCATACGCTCGTATATTTTTATCTGAAATTTATATTTTTATTCAGTATATTAATTTTATTTATTTGAACTAAATTATGGTTAATTTATTCTTGAATCTTAAAGTTAATTTTATTCGAATCTAATTCCAGGAGCCATGGTAGGCAATTTATAATAATCGGGCAATAATTTTAAACTCCATCTGATCGAATAATCGATTAATTTTATTAGATATAAAAATCCGATTTCCGCATTAATGTTTACATCAATGCAAAATGATCTATTTCAATTGTTCACTTTAAATCGCCAATTTTCACGTTAAAAGTTCTTTTTGATAAAACGAATATAAACTTTATTTGCACACGTTATTAAAATATTATTTATCATATATAGACAACATATCTAAACAGACATTAGATTCATACAGTTTTTTGCATTTCTACGCACGATTGATTCTCAGGATTTTCATTGTAAATTGACATTAATATTTAAACAAGTTTTAAAAAATTTCAATGGGATATCTTACTACCTGATAATAAATAAATCAATTGAATGTTGATTGAATGTGGAAAAAATATGAATGTTTTTCTAAAATTTGCAAAAAGAGTAAATATAATTATAAGTATTTCCATATATTTTACATCTATACTGCAATAACAAATAATTTATATTTAGTTTACAGGAAAATTAATAGCCAATGTACCGTATACCGCGTCCTTGTGCCACTAATCGACTCCTGTTTTACAGCTTCACCGCTTCCTGTATTGTGGGAAAACCTCTACTACGATTTTAAATAGTGCTGAAAAAGAAAAAAGCTTAGGGCTTTTCTAACTATGGTTTCGAACGTAACAAGACAAGTTTTATTTTCTCTTCTTTTTTTTTTTTTTTTTTTTTTTTTTTTTTGTTTTGACCACACTTGCCAAAAAATCCTCACTTCTGTTTTTTCTCACCAACGGCTTGAAATACGACAAAAGTCTTCGTTTGTTGCAGATATATTTATGCTTTTTTCACTTATAATTTTATCAAGGCTATGGGGAAATTATACTCTTTTATTAAATCATACGATTTATAAAAATTTGTAGCAATAGTATTTTCGTCGGTATTTGTATATGGTATAATATAATCATTAATATAAATAATTTCAACAATTTCAACAATAGTATAAAGTAAAAAGACTGTCTCTATTACTAATCTGAATTTGGCCACAAGTAATAGATATAAAATAAAATTTCAATTAATCATAACGAATTAAAAATTTTCGTCTTACTTTTATTTCTTTTGATTTTAATTTTCTTACGATTATTTATTTTCCTTATTTATTATTCACCATGGATGATCGTTTGTCGGAACAGCTGACCAAGTATAGAACGAGAAATCAAGAAAATTAATTCTTTGTTTAAAAATTTCATTACAATAATTCTGTTTTATTTATATTAATCGTTTTGTTAATGCAAACTCTGCTAATGACAATTTATCTGAGTTTAAGGGAGCCAAAAAGTAGTGATAAGAAAATGAAATGTTCCTTACAGATTCAACATAAAATGTATTCTCATAGTTCACATCCGTTTATTTTTCACATTAATACTACTCCTAAACCTACTCCCTTCTTAGGATTTCATTTAAATTTAGTTATCACGACAATGATGATAGTGGAGAAACAATGACATTCAGAGCTTTTCAACTGTAAGAAGAGTTTTATTAATCCTCGATTTAGATATCCTCGATCATCGAAATAAATATCCCATCTAGGGATGAAACCGGTAAACTGAAGTGCTGAGTTGAAAATATAATTTAATACATTTTTAAGGGGAATTGCACAAAATCTTCAAAATAATTCTCTTCTACCTAGCAATAGAAAAAAATCTCAAATTAAATTCCATTTGCCTCAATTCCCATCCAAAGAAAAGTTAGCTTATTAAAACGTAGATTCTTCGTCTGACTTTATTATTTCCCACTTTGCATCTCCTTGTTTCGAAAAGATCGGTAACGAATTGCACTTAAATAACTTACGCATGATAAACTCAAATACTTCATTAGCTCGTCATCCTGAAAGCGCGAGGAAAGGCCAAGAAACTATTCGAAATCGGAACGAAGCGAATGCGAGACGGCGGGTCGGGGAGAGATGAGAAAACTGAAAATATGGAAGAAAGATGGGTCGAAGAGGGGTGGAGAAAGGGAAAGAAGAGCCCCTGGAAAATAAAACGAGTACGGTGAGTCTGCATTCTGGTGGTGCAAGTGAGAGGAAGGCCGACGAACCAAGACCGAGGGATTTCGAAGTAGAGCGGCAAATCCCTACGTTATTAAAAGTCACTTTCGGTTAGCGCTTCGGCTTACCTAGGAATTTTCACTGACTCGCGAATTCTCCGCTCTCTTGGGAGCTTCAACTTTAATCTTTGACTTTCCACCTCGTTCTTCTACTTCTCCTCTTGCATTACTTTTTTATGCTTTAAAATTATAAACTGTAATATACACGCGAAAATGTGACTTAATTGCGTTGGTTGATTTGAGCGCTCCAACATCCTCTGCGTATAATTTCCACAATATGCATCGACTCTTCAAAAGAGAAAGATGAGAGAAAATGAACAAGATTTTATTTATTAATTTTCATTTCAATTTACATCCATGTTGCACATATTTATCAAGATGTTTGTCCACGATACGAGAAACCAGGTTCGATTTATTAATGCATAATAATTTTACATTCATTTTCCATTTTAATGCGTCTCAATGCATAAAGCGACTAAAGTAAATAATAATAACAATAATAATAATAATAACAATACGTGACATGTAATGAGCTGTAGCACATGTTATAATCGTTTCACAGACCAAATATAAGATAATAATTGAAACAAATGGTTAATGTATAATTTCCATTACAAAAGTTTATAATTGAGAGTTACGAGGATCAAAATATTAAAAATGATGTAAAGTATACTGTTAACTAATAGTGTGCAACATACACGTGGAAAACGAATATCCGAATTGTTATCATAATCCTTCTCCGA